AAACAGTAAAGTAGTAACTATAGAAAATGTCTCCACTCTACATACATTTTTACTAAAGCACAGCTGTGTGCTCACTGAATTTAAATATGCTTAAAAAGTTTTTTATTGAAATAAAGGCAAACATATTTACGGATAAAAACATTGTAAGACTAATTAACTTTCAAATATTTTACATAATAATCATATCTACACACAGTTAATACATGTTACTCACCTTGTTTCAGGTCAATGTACTGGAATGTCTTAACATTGCCGTCATACTCTCCCACCACCAGTTGACCAGTAGCAGGGTTGATGACTACTGCATTGGGAGACTTCAACCCATCATCCTCAGTGACAATGTATCTGATAAACTGTCCCTGTGGACTCAGTGCCACTATCCTGTGGTTACCCCAGTCAGCAATGAAGATGTGACCATAGCTGTCTGTGCACACTCCATGTGGAAAACTCAGTCCACTGCCTTCTCTGCTGCCGTCATACTGGTACAGATGATCACCAGTAGGTGACAGCACATGTACACAGTCTCCCAACAAGTCTGATATCACAATGTTATCATTCACACTGTTCACTGTGATGTACACTGGGCGTTCACACATACTGAGTGGAATAGTGTTCAGGAGCTGTCCACTGTCTGCATGGAATGTCAAGATGGACTTCTTTTCTCTGTCACAAACCATCACATGACCTTGTCTGTTCAGTGTAATACCCAGTGGTAACTCCAGTAGACCCTGACCCATGGTTGTCACCTGCTGACCTCTGGTGGAGTACACTTGGACACAGCTGTCATCCAGTGATGTTATATACAGGTGACCAGTCTGTGACACAGCCACATCCCATGGTTTGTTTACTTTAATGTCAAACTTAAATTGTCCTTCATGTGTGAATACTTTTGTTCTGTTGTTGAAATTATCCACAACAAACATGTGTTCCTTATCTATGGCTAACCCAGTTATGTTGGTTATTTCTCTATCATCTTCCAGTTTAGGACTGAAGGAACGCACACATTCTGCCTTGTCTAAGAAAACAGGAGGATGTGTAGCTGATGTTGGATTTGTTTCCTGTCCAGCTAATGGAGGTTGTGTCTGTACTGTCACCTGTCCTGATCTTGGATTTACACCTCGTCTAAACTTTCTCCATTTCCTTAATATGGCTTCCATTCCGACAGTAGATCCTGTAATATTTATGTCAGTGATTGCTAAACTTTATGTTCACTTCTGGTGCTGCAGCTTGGAGATCACAGTAACATATCCACAACAAACATGTGTTCCTTATCTATGGCTAACCCAGTTATGAATATTCCTCTTCTATCATCTTCCAGTTTAGCCCTGAAGGAACGCACACATTCTGCCTTGTCTAAGAATACAAGATGATTTGGAGCTGATGTTGTATTTGTTTCCTGTTCAGCTAATGGAGGTTGTGTCTGTATTGTCACCTGTCCTGATCTTGGATTTACACCTCGTCTTGACTGCCCTAACATGGCTTCCATTCCGACAGTAGATCCTGTAATATTTCTGTCAGCGATTGCTAAACTTTATGTTTACTTCTGATGCTGCAGCTTGGAGATCACAGTAACATAAACACTTGCTCCATATACCTACAAGTTGGTCAGATCATATCTCTTTCTTTGTCAAATATGTTCAACATTATCCCACAATCTCCGTCCTGTTACTTCCTGGTTGTTGAACAAAATGGCGCCTCATTCATATAGACCATAATCCTTTGCGCAACACGAGTTCCGGTTTTTTTTTCATAGCAAAACTACAGACGCGCAAAAGAAATGCCGTACAAAGGTAACTAGAAAATAATAATTTAATATCAGATAAAAAAGATATGCGTAAAACTAATATTTCTCTTCACAGTTATCACCTTTAACAGTGATTTTTATTTTCTTTTATTTTGATTTATTTTTCTTTTATTTTTATTTATTTATTTATTTATTTATTATTATTTATTTTATTATCATTATTTTTTTTTTTTTTGTTACACACACTGGACAATAGAAGTGAACCATTACTTTGGGGGAGATAAATGACTCTGGAATGTTATGCTCCTGGTATCATTTTATAAACATCAAATTTCACAAAAAAAAAAAAAGAATACAATTCCATAGTACAGCGGTTTTATACTCAATAGTCATATTAAGAGTAGACCCAGGCATTATAACTTTCATTATTCTGCAGGGGGTGACACTTCTTTTGTCCAATGTGTTTATTTACCTCATTTTTNTTTAATATCAGATAAAATAGATATGCGTAAAACTAATATTTCTCATCACAATTATCACCTGTAACAGTGATTTTTATTTTATTTTGATTTATTTTTCTTTTATTTATTTATTTATTTATTTATTTATTTATTATTTTTGTTACACACACTGGACAATAGAAGTGAACCAATACTTTGGGGGAGATAAATGACTCTGGAATGATATGCTCCTGGTATCATTTTATAAACATCAAAATTCACAAAAAAAAAAAAAAGAAAGAAAAAGAATACAATTCCATAGTACAGCGGTTTTATACTCAATAGTCATATTAAGAGTAGACCCAGGCATTATAACTTTAATTTCTCTGCAGGGGGTGACACTTCTTTTGTCCAATGTGTTTATTTACCTCATTTTTTCCTTGTTTTGATTTCCCTCAATTTTCTGCCGCCATCCCTATCATGCGCATTTTTGAGCCACAATTTGATTCATGTCTTATTCAGCCTCCGTAGCTCTCGATCTACCTGCATCTGTGAAAATATAAAAAACTTAACTTAATCCTCCTATCTTAACAGTGCTAAATTGGACAGTAAACAAAAATGGTTCAAAAAGGAGTTACAAAACGGAATGGTCTCATCAAAGGACAGAAATAGGTTGATATGCGTTTATCCTTAAGAGAATATATGTAAAAACCTTAAAAAGACAAAGTTGTTCAGAAGAAACAACCTTTATATTTTGAACTGTAACTTTGCTTCAGGATCACTATAATACAATTAATATGTAAAAATATATCTGAGCAAACATTATTTGATCATTACGAAATGCAAACATTCCATTGCTTTTGTAAAGGCCAGTTTTTTTAGTGCAACCTTTCCGCACTTCCCAATCCAGTTACACTGGCATGCAATATGTTAGTTTTAAAATTAGTAGACATGATCCTATCTACACTGTACCATTTCCTAAGAGGAAAACCCGCCCAGTGAGGCAAGGTGGTTTAACCTTTGAAATAAATATAAAATATTCTTAATAAGTAAAGCACATTTATATATAGGCCCTATTCATACAACAAATGATACGTGTTCAGATTAAAATGTCATATTAATCATTTATCAAATAACCACTATTTTAAAATTCAACTTATTATTTTTTCCATATGTAGCTTCAGCACAACAATCACTACATTAATTTTAATCACACTATTATTTTTTTTTACTTACCAGTAATTTCATTATGCTTATCTTTAAGTATGTTTTCAACCCTTGCCACATCTTTTCTAGTCTCCATAGGAAATGCAAACTCGTCAGTTGAGACAATATTGTCATCAGGACTTCTGTTCTGTTTCAGTCTTTGCTCTAACCTTGTAAGAACAATAATGTTATTCTTCAGCATAGCTTTTATCTGCAGGAGGGTGGTGAAGATGAAACGATCTCTGAAAACCATAACACGAATAATTTATCGGTAAAGAAATCTGATTGGAATTAATGAAAATACCTTAAAATGACTACCAAAACGCACAAAATGCACCATGTGCACTTCCTTATGGCTAGTCTTAATTTAATTAACACCGAATTGCCTTTTAAAAAACATGAAAAATCTTAATATGACAAATATGCATATGCCAGATATTGGTGGTCAGAACACAAAACAACTTGAATGTAAACTGTATTATTTCTTCAGATATTGGTCAGTTATAAACGACCAATTTTTCCATATATTTTCTTATTCATCACCTTTCTACATGATCCGTAGGAATGGCTACTTCACCATCTTTATAATTTT